TCCTTTCCCTTCTATTTTTTTTTTTTTTTTGCTCTGTACACATTCTCTTCCTCGTCAGGGTTAACACTTGTGTAAGGGCCGCCCTCGTGTAAGGGTCACATCCCTACTTTGGTGAAGAAAATTTCGGGAAAAAAACAACCAAAAAGTCCCGCCATAAAGGTGCAGTTAGTTCGATTGCGGCCAGATGGCGCTGCCAGTTTTTCCACTTCTGCCGTTGTGCCAATGACGCACCTCCGGATGACGGACGGGGCGGCATCATTTTACTTTTGAGTGGCGCATCCTTCGCATCAAGTCAGTGCTTTTTCGTCGAATCGGTGTCTTTGAGCGAGTGCAGGTGAGAGACGATGGGCTGGCATTTTAGGTCGTTTCCTGCAGGATTTAAACTGCAAGTGATAGAGTATGCCAAGGAGCACGGCAAGCGCAAAGCTGGACGCAAGTACAGTAAAAGCTCGTTAATTTGACACCCGTTAATTCAGAAATTCGGATAATTCGAACGGCTCTATTGGTCCCGGCCAAAGTGCATGTTAATCTATGGGACCAAACTTTTGTTATTTCGTCGGAATTCAGCTCCGCACCGCTTAATTCGGACAAATGCTGACGGCTGCTGCTACACAAAAGTGTGATAAAGCAGCGCTGGCACCACTGGAGTGAAACCGAAACCTGAGTGGCATCGCTATCATCATCAACTAGTGGGGGCGATCGCAGCGTCATCGAATGTCGGCGTCTTCTTCCTTCTCCACTCAGCGCCTCCGACGCCATTTTCCCTTGTGTTGTCGTGTCGGAACCATCTCTCCCTGCGGAGTTCTCTTTTTCTTCCATTGTGACCGTATTTGCATGCCACCACCATCGTGCGCTACAGTGATGGCAACGCCGAAAAAAATTCCACCATATCCACGAAGTGAATGATGATGAGTGGGCGAAGCTCCGGAGGTAAACCTGGTAAACCATGAATCCTCTGTACATTTTGCCCACTCGATTTTATTACATCGCTCCCCCTAGCGTACGTAGCCGCACTAAATCGAACGATTGCCTTCAACCAATGACACGCGCCATATGTGACATCATTCCTATTTTATAAGATCTCGCGTCTTTCATCAACTACAAGTACCGCTTTCTAGTTTATAACATCTTGCATCTTTTCATCATCAGCTACAAGTACCACCATCTAGTAAACACTACAAGAACTAAACGAGAGGTGGCTACATACAGGAGACGGTACCGCCATCTAGTGAACACTGCAAGAACTAAACTAGAGGTGGCTACATACAGGGGACGGTACCGCCATCTAGTGAACACTGCAAGAACTAAACTAGAGGTGGCTACATACAGGCTACAGGGGACGCACAGCCCACGCCCTAAGGAGCTTCGCCCCTAAAAGCGGCAGAGTCCCCCGACCGAGTCCACCGACGATGACTGCCCGACTTTCGATGCTGTCCTTCCCACAGATGTGACCTTTCAGTACTACATCGCGATTGATCATGGTGTCGCCACGAGTGGTCTCCTGACCGATCAAGAGATTATTAATGATGTCATGGGCGCCCATGAAGACCACGATTCCGACAAAGAATCATGCGAGGAGATACAGCCGCGACCTCATCGCACCTCACGGGAGGTCTCGGAGGCGCTGTTAATATTAGAGGACACTTGCCTGAACACTCCCGACAGCTTGCGTGCTGTTGGCCATTTGGAACAGTCAAGAAAAATTGTGAAGTCAGCCGGAAGCTGCGCGAAAATGCAGACGACAATTACAAAATACTTCAACAAATAAAGGTATGCTTCTGCAGCTTTGTTTTTCCTGTTCATTCGTTAATTCAGCATTCGGTTAATTCGGACAGTTTTTCCGGTCCTGTGAAATCCGAATTGACAAGCTTTTACTGTACCATGTAGATGAGAAGCACATGCGTTATTGGATGAAGCAGAAAGATGCCCTCGCTGCTACCAACCGGAGCTGAAAAGCCTTTCGCGGGAAGTGCAAATATCCAGAACTGGAAGGCAAACTGCTCAAACATATTGCCGCGAGGCGTATTGCGGATAGTGTTGCGCATGCCGATACCGCCGGCACGCGGCCTTATCGTGGTCCAGGATGCACTGCGATTCATCTGCGAAGATCATGGCCCGCAGTCGACCATTCGTTGATAACGAGATAGCGCTAGACGCTACGGCGACTGTATCTCGGATGGTGAACGCGCCTTGTGATTCAGTGGGACATTCTGTTCCCCGACGGCCGTCGAACACGCTGTTCGCCACCCGCTAAGCCGATGTGTCTGTTTTCCTTTAGTGGGCGCAAGTCCGCCAAATAAACGGATCTCCTTCTATTTCTACTGGCCTCCCGGTCTCCTGTCTTCGGGCTACCCTCACTATTACGTGACAATATCATCGATACTTGAAGAGACGGCTATGCCGCATTGACCGCTATGGTACGCGAGAAAGCCTTAAGCACAGCTCGCCACATGGAAATCCCTCAGGCACAATTCAAGGCAAATCGGGGATGCGCTACATGGTTTACAGTCGAACTCCGCTACAACGAACGCCGCTTCAATGAAATTTCTGCCACAACGAAAAATTCACGATCTCCCGTTAATGCATAAATATTGTCGCCACAATGAACACTTTTTCTTCGATCGTCTCGCTTCAGCAAAATTTTATGATGCGATTCCAGACTCAGATACTTATTGCTATGCAGCAAAACCCAATCTTTAACATTTCAATGTATTTTCAGAGCCTGAAAATGCGTCAACGAAGTCTAAAACATGCATTGGCACCACCAGAAACCGCCACTATACCGCCGCTGTTCAGCAACCGTGGACGCCGCCATTGCTCGGTAGCGATGGCATAGAGACTGCCCAGCTTTTGTTTTCCCACTGGCTTGCTTTTGAGCCGCAGACGACCCGAAGATGAAGCTCAGTCGCTCAATTCATGGTTTCCTTCTCGCAGCTGCTTGGTGCAACCGCAGCACGATGCCTTTTCCGATTCCGATGTTTATCATTATGTTCGCGCTTGGCCAGTGTAGTAACTAGTCAGAGCGCCTGTTTGTCCGCATTATCAACAAAATCAGCTAGCCGCGAGTGATGGATGATAAGAATGGAATAGAATAATGCAATAGTCGCTGCTTCACGATACCCTGCCTCCATCGCGGCATTGTCGCATACTTTCGATGCCGGACAGCTGCTGGTGTTAACGTGTTAATGCAAATGTTTGGTTCTTTCACGAAAGCGGTGTTAGGCGTTGTTTTAGTGTGCTTTTCACCATGGCCTCTCTATGCATGGGTGAGAATCACGTCGTGACGCTGCTGGGAAAGAATAGGAAGCAACGGATATTTTTTTAACTTTGAGAATAAATGTTCCTTTGGTTTGCTAGCTCAGATAAGCTATATTTTTTTTCGATTTCACTACAACGAAATTTTCAAAATTTTTTCACACCCCGTCATGCACCCCGTCATAGCATGGTTTGACTGTATGAACTGCAACCAGCTCTCCATCCGCCACCGAAAGACAATTTGTCAAAGGCTTCCAAGCGAGTACACAAGTAAGGTGATAAAATTCCATCGTTTTGTGAATGGTCTTCGGAGAGAGCACGAATATTACCTGACCCAAATTTGCAATACGGACCAGACTCGTGTGGTTCGATGCACCAGATGCGCCAGAGAGCACCACAGTGGAGTTGAAAAGAGCAAAAAGTGTGACTGCGCACAACAGGCACAGAACGTCAAAAGTGCACTGTGATGCTGTGCGTGACGGCAGGAAACTTCTGCCATCACAGGCATTGCCATCACAGGCGTCACAGGCACAGCATCACAGGCATTGTGTTCAAGAGGAAGACTCTCCCAAAAGAGAAGTTCCCTCAGGGCATCATTGTGCGTGGCGAAGGGTTGGATGTGCGAGGAACTTGTTGCAGACAGAGTGAAGATTGCCTGGGCAAACAGACCTGGAGGCCTGCTACAGTGGAAAGCCCTCCTCCTTCTGGACAGTTTTAGGGGCCACTTGACGGACCGGGTCAGGAACAGACTGGCCACGACTCGTACAGACTTGGCCGTTATTTCTGGAGGACTGACGAGCGTGTTTCAGCTGCTCGACGTGTGCATTAACCGTCCAATTAAAGTGAAATGCCCCCGCTGTTATTCGAAACGGATGGTTGGGGGCAATCATGAGAAGACGCCGATGGGACAGCAGAAGCGGGCATCGCTCCAACAAGTTTGTGAGTGGATTTTGAGTGCGGGGCATGCCATGTCACTTGAAGTAGTAGTGAAGAGCTTCAAAGTAACCGGAATTTCAAACTGCATGAGCATGACTGAGTATGATTATCTCTGGGAAGATGCTGACGCTGAGGCGAGTGCTTCGGATAACGAAGACAGTGAGAGCGAAATGGAATCTTAATAAAACCATTCCTCGTAAATCATTTGTGACTCTTTCACTCTACTGCTATTGTGGAAATGGTACAGACCTTTGGTGAGTTGTCATCAGCATGATTCGTGTAAGGACTGCACCAAGCGATAATGTTGAAAAAAAAAAGTGTGGCCCTTACATGACTATATACATATACAAGCTGCGCCAGAGAAATGGGTACATGTCTTTTTAGAGCAAAGCAGTAGAGGTCAAAGATGAAGAGGATGTAGAAAGTATGTGCCGGTTCATGACGATGATCCTTTCTGTTTCCAACGGAGAAACTACAACAAGCTTAAACAGCTTTGCCATTTAAAAAAAAAAGCACATCCAAATAAAGACTGAAAGCATTGCTTTGTCTGTATGCCAACAATGCAGTGAATCTGCAAGCTGTTTAAATCCACAGCTTACCAACTGGCACAAGTTAAAGCTCGCAGCCATGTTCATGCACACAAATGAGCTGCTTACAATAGCACAACTCACAGAATGGCTGATGCCACTTTATTAATGTACTCAAAAATTCACACAGTAATTAAAAAAAAAGTGTTACAAGAGCTTTACAATTAAAGGTATAAACGAAATGTCCACAAATTTCGAAGTGTTTCATTGAGACTAACTCACCTCTTGACTGTTGATAGTCGATGCTTGTTCTACTGATTTAAATGAAGCCTTTGGCTCTGGAAACCTGGGCAATATTTGGCCAGGGGCCGCTGCCATAATAATGACCCTGTAAAGAATATGGGTGGAAGCATAAGTACCTCCAGAAAAGTACAAAGCCCAGATGTGAAATTAAATAACAGCACTCATAATCACAAAACTGCCCAAATTTCGCCAAGTAAATCATGCTCCATGTATAAGCTTATACAAAAGTAAGATGACTGTGGTATCTTGATCGTCCAGTCTGAAACAGGCTATTGTTATGTGTAACATTAAACCAACCAAAATTGTTACATCATTGTTACATCATCAGCAACAGTAACATCACTTCATTAGGGATGCTTGGATTCTGACAATAACAATCAACTTTAATTACAATAATGCAGCAAGTCTCGTTTTATAATACATAATAGTTGGTTGATGCCTTAAATGAACATGATACTGTAACTAGAAAGCTTCGAAGTTGCTATTAAAAATATAGTCCTTCAGCTTTAACATGCCCATACATGATGGTAGCTATTCTGTCTACCTAACCAGCCACAGAAACATTGGCCATGGTCAGTTAGTGCCTTTGAGTACATCTCTCAGAATTATTTTCAAAATAAAAGACATTATGCAGACCAAAGACAACCAGGAATGACTGTAAATAAGCCTATTCTAGCTGGCATACAGCACAAAGCCCTCATAAGCCATATATAATCGAATCTAAGCCAATGCTTTTTCGAATAAAAATGTGCGAAAGTGGAGGGCTCGGCTTAGATTCGAGTACCACGATTTGGCAGCCGCTGCCACCTGCCTGAAGGCCCGGCCGCGCTAGCGGCATTGCGGCTCTCGATGCGCCAATTTCAAGGTACCGGTTTTGCATGCCAGAGGCTCATTTTCGCAACATTCTGCGGTAGCTGCACGGTGACGAGGCCACTCAGGCCTGTTCACTGGGAGAATAGTAGTCTCCATTGCTTTCGTACGGTCCATTGTCCCAAAATCACGCAGTCCCACGTTGTCGCAGCGAGAAAGCCAGGGTTGTCAAGCCGACGAAATTTGACGTCTGAAAAACCGCAAGATGTGGATCATGTCAAGTGATTACCACTGGCAGTTGCCACCTTAGCCACCTATCAGCTATCGCTTGGCGGACGAGGCAGAGTTGCCCAATGGTCATTCCTCTGAAAGTGATCGTGCAGTGTAGTTGTGCCTATTGCTCATGAAATGTCTGTGTCATTGTGCTTCAGATTCGATTGCACCAACCAAGCGGTGCAACTTCAGCGCGGCGTTCAAGTGGAAGGTCGTATTACATGTGGAAAAGACATCGAACCTACGAACGCAGCAAGAGTTCGGAGGGCACAAACGGAATGTGCAACGATGGCGAAAACAACGTGCGGAACTCTTCGGTTGTGCAACTACCCCCACATGGCGCTCACTAGACCAAAAAAACTGGAAGATCCCACGTACAGTGGGAATCGATGATATGTGAAGCACAAATGAGGAAGGCTGATATGTCACTCTAAAATGGGTACAACGTTACGAGGTGGAGGTAAATTAGGCTGTACATCACTACCGTGTCATGATTATCATGTTTGGATGTGTCGTTTACCTTCGTCATGCATTGACGTCACGCAACACCAAATTTGGTATATGTGGAGCTAGCGAAACGGCCGCGAGAGCACATGAGGTGCCTGACATACTGCAACATAACGTTGACGCGGGGCGCGCGCTGGGCACAGCGATGCTACGCAAGCACCCTATAGTCTGACGCCAGGCTCAACCGGGGCGACCAACGTCCGCAGGCGCAGCACTGCGGCAACCAATGCGAAATTCGACATGCTGCATTTCGCGCCGATGCGTTATCCAGATTATATTCTAGTTGACTATACCCAGACAGCACTGCGTATGCCTCTTTTCGCGACAGAGGGACGCCAGACGCGCTGAAATGCTCATGCGTCTAAGCAACACAGCGCGGTGTGCGCCTGCGAGTATATGGCAGGACCAGCGCCTCCATGGCGCGGCAACGCCGGCTGACGCGACAAAACAAACACCAGTGGGCATGCGTGCCGGGTCACGTCCAAGTGTATTGGCACCTTGACTGTGGCATGTAGCTATGTTCTCACATGATACGCATCTTATGATTATCATGTTTGCACCAGTCACACACCTTCGTCATCCACTGACGTAACGTAATACCAAATTTGGCATATGTGAATCTAGCGAAATGACTGCCAGCGCATCGTGAGTGTGGCATATAGTCATATTGTTACATGACACGGCTGTCGTGATTATCATGCTTGGATGTGTCATTTACCTATATCGTCCGTTCGCGTTGCGTAATACCGAGTTTGGTACATGTGAAGCTAGCGAAACGGCCGTGAGCGCGCCATAAGCGTAGCATGTAGTCATGTTGTTACATGACACATATCTCATGATTATCATGTTTGCACCAGTCACATACCTTCGTCATCCATTCACGTACCGT